GGGGGGGCAGGAGGCGGAGGCGGGGGCGCCGGGCGCCACCCTGTCTCGACAGCGAGATCGGCGGGGCTAGCCTTGATCCGGGAACTGTGTGAGGCGTTCCCGGATAAGGTGAGAGGGCACCGTCGAATCGCAGCAGCTGGAAGAGTTGCATACCGTATACGACACAAGATAACACGCCCCGTGGACCGATTGTCAAAATCTCGATTTCTCAACAGCAGAAAGAGTCACAGCGCCAAAAACGGCGGCGTTGAAGCCGTCTGGTCGAGAGCTTTTCGAAAATGTATCGTTTCGTTGATGCATCCTCTTGATTGTGGCCTAATCGAGCTCTGAAAATCGGTCCAGGGGGTGTATTATCTTGTGTCGTATACGTTAGTCGATTCGGAGGTGCACGAGTTAGTCGATTCCCGGCTGCAAGATTTAGTCGATTCGCACCGAAGGTTCATAAGTTGTGCAAGAGTTCGCCTACGTTTTCCACCCTCGTGTTTTCCGAGAATTTATCTGCAAAGCGGCCGCTGGAGTTGTATAGGCGGGCCGTACTCATGATTTGCATGCCCTATATGTTAGACCATTGACCGTGCTTCCTCGAGAGGACGGAGCGTGAGAAGGGGGAGGGTTAGGATGATCGTCTCGGGGCTTGGCGCTCGGTCGTCGTTCGCCCTCATTTCGTCCTGGCTCTTTTTGACTCTTAAGTTGTAGTGGGTCCTTCTGGCTCTAAGTTTTGGTGCTGTACCTGGGTATGCGCTGGCGTGGTTGAGAGCTGTGGTGAGCGCTGGCGGACGCGCGGACAGTGGTGGGCTGGCGAGCGAGCCGACAGAATCGGTGCTCCCTGTCATGTCTACCCCTGCGGCTGAAAGTGTGTCATTCCCTCCACGCTTGAAAACGAGTTTGTGGTTCCTACGCCCTCCTTACCTCCGAAGCCGGTGTGACTGCTGTTGATGTGTCAAACAGGGACATGACCTTCTTTCTCTGTTTCTCTCCCTTTCTCTCCCTCTCTCTCTTTCTCTCTCTTTCTCTCTCTGTCTCTCTCTGTCTCTCTCTGGCTATCTCTGTCTCTCTCTGTCTCTCTCTCTCTCTCGCTCGCGCTCGCGCTCGCGGTTGTGGTAACTAACACAGGTGGTGCCGGCCCTCATCGCCGAGGCGAAGTCAGCACTCGTGGACTCTTCGTCCTCGTCTTCTTCCGTTGGCTCCGGTGGGGGGGACGGGGAGGCTGGAGCAGTCATGTCGGCGGCGAACAACAACATTCCAGCGGCGGCAGATGTTGTCCCTTCAGCCGTAGCGGCGGCGGCGTTGTCGGCTAGACGATGGCGTCTTCGAGAAGCTGCCCTGCTGTGGTAAGTGAAAGCCCAAGCCCGTGAGTGACCACGGCCTAAGCCTCTTTCCGGTTGGTTCTTTGGATGTCTTGTTTTATGATTTTCGAATTATGGATTTGGATGTTGGGATTTCTTTAATTCATATTTGGAGGTGCTCTCTATGGATCTTGGATCTTTGGAGCTTTGCGCAGATCTGGACGTACCTGGCGTCCCTAAATTCTGCTATCTTTTTTGTGCGTGTGGATTACATTTTCCTTTCTGTCGCTGGGATCCCGAACCGCTGCCCCGCCGCTCTGTTGCTGTCCCCAGCCTCGGCGTAGCGTCGAAGCCCATCACCCGCCAAGTGAAGAGAAGATGTCCCCTTGCCGTCAAATTGAAGAAGGAGCAGCAAAACAACAACATCACCAACAGCGGCGGCGGCAGCGGCGGGGGGGGCAGCAGCAACGCCAACGGAAGTCACGCCGCGTCGTCGTCGTCGTCGTCGTCGTCGTCCTGCTGGAACGCCCCGGAGAGGGGCACGCGAGGGGGGGAGGGGGCCGGGGGGGGGGCGGGGGCAGGGGGCAAGCATAAGTGCAAGCACAGCAAGGCTTCGTCGTTTTCTCCCGGCACGCTCTGTCGGGGAGCGAGAGGCTTAGGTTTGGATCTGGGCGGCTTCCAGGCAGTCATCGTTGCTGCCGCGGAGGTGAGTGAACCATTCGGGGGGCCCCGCACCGTTTTTTGTGTCTCCTCGGGCGGGGTGGGATGGGGGGGGGGGGTTACTCCACGTTGCGTCGACCTCCCGTGAAACGCCGGCTGAGCAATAGCTGGAGGACAAGCCATCGCGAAGCCCGGTCTATTCCGCGGGTCCCCCACTGCGTGAAAATGACGTTTGTTGGCGGAACAACCAACAGCTAGCGTTCTGTTCCACACGCACAGTCTGTCGGCAAAAACAGGGGTCATCTACCGCCTCGTTCTTGCACTCGGTGCTCGTCCCACACCCGTTGTGCGTCAGTGCCCATGAAAGCAATATCATTTGCTTGTTTATTTGTTTGTTCCCCATTACCTCTGTGCCCTGCTCATGGGAGCGACTTTGTGTGCCCTGCCCATGAAGGCAACAATTAATTTATGATATCCTTGACTTGCGTATTGCTTTTGCAGCAACAACAAGTTACAACAGAATTACTTAGCTAGTTCTTGCTTCTTGCTTATACGGCCGACAACGCAAACGCGCAACACAGGGCCGGAGCCACCACCCTCAAGAGGTCAGCAGCCCCTTCGTGCACGCGAGAGGCCTGTGGGCCACGGCGAGGTTCGCGTCCCTCCTCTCCGCCGAGGGGGTCTGCAGGTCGGCGGAGGCGTGCTCGCTGGCCATGGGCGAGGGCCGACCGCTGTGCCTGCGGCTCCACGCCTGCCGAGCGCTGCGGGTGCTTGGACAGTGAGTGTTTTTTTGTTTGTTTGTGTTTTCCCGCAGCACCCTACTGACCTACGGAGCCGAGACCGGAACGGTTTTGCCGATCGCCCCGGCGGTCTAGTGGTACCCTCGAAACTGCTAGTGGCGAAGTCATGAGATCGAATTCCCATGGGGTGAAAAAATCACACCTTTGCGGGTGAAAGCGACAAACAAAAGGCTGAAAAGCTCTCGTGAGTATCAAACTTGTGCGTTCGCACCGTCGACGAGGGGAGGGGAGGGCTGGATCCTTTTCGCGATAAAAAACAAAAATGAGCACGCACTTCAGGAGGAAGGTGGGGCACGAAAATAGAAAAGAAGAGAAAAAAAGCCCCCTCCTGTGTGAACCCTGCATGGTTGTAGTTGTACGAAACAAGACACTAAAAAGTGTAGTACACGTCTCGCCACGAAAATTGGGGGGACTGTCGCCATGAAATAGGACGAAAACACACACGCACAAACGCACACACCCATCCTGGAAGGGCAGCCAAGAACTAATGGTATATATATGTGCTCTTCCTGCGTGCGAACAGCAGTATCACGTAGTTGACCTTAGCGCCATGACGTCTCGATATCCGGTGGGAATATGTAGGCGATTTTCAGCTGTTCCGCCGCTGCGGTCTTTCGTTGTTGTTCTGAAGTCTTTGTTTCGTGGCCAATCAGCTGTTGGCGTAATGCTGACACACGGTTCAACATGAAAAGAAGCTGTCACCGCGTACTTTTCCGTTGCAGCTGACGTCTTGTGCCGGGCCCTTCGAGACGACAGGCCACGACAGCCCAAAAATAGTCTTCTTGCAGCCCAGAATATTCTGGAGATTATCGGGCAGTCTTTCCGAAGTAGTTCTCAAGTCTTACAACAAACCTCAATACTACTATTATTTTGCTTTCATGGTGTTGTTTTCGGGGTTTGATTTGTCTGTGTGTAGGGCTAGCGAAATGTGAGACGTACGTTCGTAAATCGGTGGTCGAGCTTCGTATATTGGCCACCGGGAAAGGTGATCCAAGGCCGACGCGTGCGTAGCACGCGTTGTTGCGGCTACAGGGTAGAAGTATCAAAAGTATCAGACACGCGAACCTTATCAAAATAGAACCTGGCCATGATCGACGCATCGAGGCGATCCACTGCTTAAACGACGAGCTCGGTGATGGCTGCCCGCCTCCCCCCGCCCCCCTTGGAAATAAACACATTACGGACACGTCGTGAAACCTACCAACAAACTAGAAGCTTCAACAGTCTCTATCGCTGGGGCAAGCACCCGCTGCCGTTCCTCCGGCTATACACAGTATCGTCTCTCTCTCTGTTTTTTATTTTTGCTCTTGACCGCCAGGTACAGCGCCCGCATAGCGCGAAGAGGAGGGTTTTTCGGCATCAAGAGGGGTGCCGGGAAGGCGCTCCTGGGGTCGAGGGTGGGCACGGCGGCGCGGGCGGCGGTGACAGCGGCGCCTGGGCTGGCCGCCTGCTTCGAGGAAGGGACCGCGCACTTTGCCCCAGAGACCATGACTCAGGTGTGTGTGTGTGTGTGTGTGTGTGTGTGTGTGTGTGTGTGTGTGTGTGTGTGTGTGTGTGTGTGTGTGTGTGTGTGTGTTTGCGTGTCTTTATTCCCGGCAGCTGGCTGACCAATGAACAGGCGTCGGTGCCAGCTGTTGTAATACCAAGTGTACCAAGGTATGTGTCTCCCATGGTGACACCATCGCCCTGTACTGGATCGCCTTCTATTCGCTTTGCGCTTCAGGGAAATTGCTGCTGTATGTAGCTTCATCAAGCTTTGCGTTTTAGGGAAATTGCTACTATATGTAGCTTCATCAAGGCCTTCCCAGTGTCTCTTTTTTGAGGGTGTCTGCGCCGTTCTCTTGGGTCGTACCGTATCAGCTCTGGGATAGATGAGGAATGAAGTCATGGTATCAGCGGGAAACACTGTCTCTGCTTGCGTTGTGAAGTACCAAGATTGAACCAATGGGGTGTACCTCATTCTCTCCGGCCCGTGATGGTGACTCCTAGTCTCAGTTGTTACCTCGCATAGCGCGCAGAGGGAGTGCAGGACTCCAGAATATCTGGCGTTGATTTCTATTGACTTGCGGACCGCTCGGGGCCATTTTTATTTGAGTGTACCTTTTTAGGGTAAGCTAGTCTGCGACCACGGGAATCGACCGCGTCGAGTGTTGGATCAGTACGGACATACGAAGGTACTGGGTAGAGAGAGATCGGAACGGTTTTTAATTTGAAGACAGCAACAACAACAACAACAACAACAACTACTACCTGCGTTTCTGCCATTCCCCCGAGCAGCGCAGAGAACGCGCCACCACACAAGAACCTCTTCTGTTGGCGGACGCTTCTTTCTGGTTTTTGTTTATGGGGGTTTCCCCACAGATGTATATGTATGTATGTATGTAGTGACGTGGTCATTTTTGCGTTGGACCTTGCTCATCTGCTGATATTGCTAATTTGGCGGACACCCTGTATTGTAGCAGCGCTGGGGGGGAGGGGAGGGGGTGGGTGGTTGGCCTGCTCAAATCGCTACTTGGATGGTGATACCGAGGGGTCCCAGTACATACAGTGTGGCCTACAATCTTCTGAAACTAGTGAAACTGGACCAAGTTTGACCGACACCCAGTGTCTTGTACTGCTTGTGCTCGCCGTCATTGACCCCAATCTCCTGAACTACGTGCTTTCTGCAGTGGCTGATGCCACTTTCAGCTAGTGCTGACGACACGCGGTTCCGGGGTTTACGGTCCGTGACGGGGAGCACGGTTGAGTTTCGGCGCAGATTACGGACTGTTTTCAGAGACTGCTGCTACCTTTGATATTTCAGCTCTAAATAGTAGCAAATCTGAACGTGCCAGCACACAGCAGTAGTGCCTATTCATGGTGTCCTCTACTGATGCCAGGAGAATGTGGCACATGTCAACGGCGGGAAGTTTGTTTTCTTTTCCTTATATAGAATTCAAGTATGAAAATAGAACCAGCGTCAAGAAGCTCGTCTTGAGCCACTTGCGTGGTGGCGCCTGCTGTATATTGAGTTTTTTTTTCTCATGTGTTGACCGCTCGATGTCGTATCTGTGATCTATATCTTGGTTGTTTGTGGTGCAGCTGGTGAAGGCCTTTCCCGCGGAGGCGGTGGCTGGAGGCGGGGATCTGGTGCTGATGCAGCTTTCCATGAGCTTGTGGCGGAGGTACCCGTCCGACCCGCTGGTGGTTGAGGTGAGAGGCGGAGCAAGAGAGGAGATATGTGATATGCTAATGCCGTTGTTGTTGTTGTTGCTGCTGCTGCTGCTGTTGTTTTTGTCGTTGGTTGTTGTTGGTTACCATGTGTCGTTTCTGGCTGGCTGCTACCGTATGTCGTTTCTGGCTGGCTGCTACCGTATGTCGTTTCTGGCTGGCTGCCGGGTTGTCGTGCTGAATAACTGGTGAGCAAAGGCAAAGGGTTGGGTAGAACCGTTTTCGCCTAGATTTGTTCAATAAACATGTTGTTCTTGATGGATACCATATGTCGTTACCGGCTGGCTGCCTCAATGTGGTGCGGAATAAACGGTGAGCGATGGGTCAGGGAGGAACGTGTGCCCCCTTGTGAAATGCTTCTATCATCTATGCCTTGGATGTTCCCCGCATTTAACCCCCAGTGACCCGCACATCATCCGACGAGTCTGCGCAGTTCCTCTCCTACAATAGTAGATTTTACAGAAAAATATGTACAATGCGGGCGATGGTGCCATCGGGCGGCGCCCCTTTCCATGTTGAGTTGTTGTCCCTGCCAATGGGATCTGCTGCGCTTTCGTATTTAGTCGTTTACTTCAAGGCCGGGCCGTTCCATACCTACTACTCTCTATTTTTTGTTCCAGTTATGCCATGCCTTGATTGTGTGTCGCACGCCCGCCGTGCAACACGACGTGATGGCAGGCCGTTGAAGACCTTCTGCTAGCGCTTACCCGCGTACCCCAGGCCGTGCCCCGGATGACCGAGACACTGGTGCCGCTCTTCCAAGAGGTAGGTTTGTTTCCCTGCACTCTTGAAGATGCCTTGCAGTTTTTTTTCGTTTCCATCGTTTGCCATGCGTTGCTTTGTTATGTCAACTCGAAACCTTGCCGGCCGTACTGAGTAGGGGAAGGTCGCTGCGTTTCTCCGTACGGATAGTAGAGATTGCTTGGGAGAGGAATCAATAATTGAAGCGTCGTGCCGCTTGCCTTGAAGCATGGTAGAAAACAGCTTACCCCGCTGGCGAACTCTTCTTGGACTCGAGTGATGTTTTCGTGTTCTGAATTTGTTGGGTCCCCCCCCCCCCCCCCCCCCNGCCCCCCCCCCCCCCCCCCCTAAAGTTGCATGAATGCCAGCAGCAATGACCTGAACCCCCCTCTTCTCGTTCACATGTCCCGCCTGCTGTTTCCGTTTACACACAGGTGTTCGAACGGCGTAGGGCAGGAGAGGAAGAGCTCCAGGCGGTGGCAGAGGGATGCCTCTCCTTGCTTCGAGAACTGACCACGCGATTGGCGGCGGCCGGGGGGGGGGTCGGCGGAGTGCACTCTCGGGGTGGGGCGGGACGGACGGACAGTGGCGGCGGGTTCTCGGCTGCAGCGACTAGGTGTGACAGCTCGGCGAGGCTGTCGCTGTGGGCGGGTCTGAGAGCGGCCTTTCCCCTTCTCTTGGAGACCGACTCGCACTCCCTGGTCCAGGTGAGACTGAAAATATTGTTGTTGATGTTGTTATTGTTGGTTGTTGTTGTTGTTGTTGTTGTTGGTTGATGATGATGTTTGTTGTCGGAAACAGCGTCACCCTTGGCTGGCAGTGTCGTGTGTGTGTCCTTGGTGCCGTCGTCATCACCGTCGGTAGTCTGAGGTGTGTGTGCAATACCAGCGTTTTGTTTAGGCTACGGCGTAGTGCTGTTAAAGAGTGGATCAAAGCTCAAAGATCAAAGATCAAAGCTCAAAGCTCAAAGATCAAAGCATCAAAGATCAAAGATCAATGATCGAAGGTCAAAGGTCAAAGATCAAAGATCAAAGATCAAAGATCAAAGATCAAAGCACGGGCGGGCGTCCGTTTGTGACAGGAGTAAGCCATTCAAGGCATGACACCGGTCGGGGCATGATTCAGGAGGTGGACCGTGCCCATTAACGACGAAAGCACAGACCCAAACACGCCAAAAACCTTCCCACACCTCCCCGCACCAACCCCGAATGCGCATCGATCGCGAGACATGTGCCACCCGTCAATCGTGGTGGTTACCTGTTTCTGTTTCCTCCTCACCTTTCTTGCCTGATGCTGCTGCTGCTACGCCAGGACGGGTGCAGCACCCTCCAAGAGTTCGTGACCGCCTTCGGTGACGAGATGCACGAAGATGCTGACGTCGCCGCGGCAGCAGCAGCAGCAGCAGGCGGGGAGGCGAGCGGAGGCGGGGAGAGTGGCGGCGGCGGTGACGGCGACTCCCCGCTATCGCTGGTGCTGTCGTTCTTGGCCAGGGTGATGGACCCCGAGGCCCACGACGCCTCCGCTTTGCGCATTGGGGGTGAGAATTCGAGTTTCATCATTTTGCAGGCAGCAAACAAACAAATCACGTTTTGCCTCTGCGCTACATTGGTTTACGTACGTCCAAGCAGCGCAGACGAAGAAACAGCAGTTTGAACGCATTGAACGTTATTTGCTGGTGGTACAAGCAAACTGACATGTGTTCGCTTCTCCGCTACATGGGTCGACTTGAGCGATACATCCACGTCCAAGCAGAGCAGATGCCGACACTATCGCTGTTCCACGATCGTCCCCCCCCTCCCTACCGCCGCGGCAAACTTAGTCTAGTGTTGAACATTGCAGAACTGATGTACTTTGGATGGCTCTATGGCACGGGCTCGCCTGCTCGCTCACCCCCGCCCCCACTGTTGCTCCTTTGATTTCCACAGGCTTGGTGTCTGCTGTTTTGAAAAGCGTGCCTCCTCGCAGCCTGGGCCGGGAGACGGTTCAATCCTTGTTGGCAGTTACCTTCGACAAGCTCGAGGTGTGTGCTTGCGGTCGTCTCCGGCCGATCGACTATTGCCGGGTTTGGAGCACTCACAGCTCTGCAGCGTGCATTGCGCCGCCGCAAAGTTTTTTATAGCGCTGAATAGGGTGGGGTATCAGAAACGGCCGACGGAGGCCTCGGGCGGTCCAGTTGACGATTGCGGTCACCTGATTTTATCGTTTTCTCGGGGTTTGCCTCCTGACTCTCCGACTGAGGTTCATTCAATCCATGCCCTTGTTCATGGATGGTTTAATTGTAGAGAACCTCTGTTAGCCGCTTCTCCCCCCCCCCCC